TGGTCGACTAATTTCTTTTTCAAAAGTCTTAAAACTCTCTTTCAAGTCTAAAAACTACTTTTAATAAGGGTTGGTAAATCTTTTGAGAGGTATCTCCCGACTTAGTAGTACAAGTAGGTATCGATATATTATACGGAGTTTGTCAGGACTACTAGAAGATCCATATAGTGTGTTAGTAATGTACTAAGTTTCTTATGTCAACTCTCATGGAAAGCAATTAGTACTACCTGAGACTTATACACATGTAAGCTGTATAATAATGGTTGTATGACACACATACCTCTACAAACTAAATTAAATGCTCTTATACACACGCATAGTCCTCTCCACTGCCTTAAGACAAACTCCGCCCTCCGCTAATTTTTGTATCGCAACGGACGCGGCTTTCTGTACATCTAGAATAGTACCGAGGGTCTTAACATTCTACAACTCTCTTGCGTTTCCACTCATTCTGCTATGATAGTTGATTTACACATACCAACATACCCCTTATAATACTAACCTGTGCAAAATTTTTACTACTACAATTCCACTCAAATTATAATCTCACCTGGATAGTACGATAAACACCGTATCGTATCCAGAGTCCTATATATTATGTTTTTATATTTTATATACAATTACTCACAATAATACGATTTTGTGGTTTCTTCTTCGTTTAATAGATCGGCTAACGCGGAGTATAGTGGGATATAAAGTTTAAACACACACATCTAACATAGACCTCCAAATAATATATTTGAGGCTAATATAGTCTATAAACATCTATGATAGCCGTAGTAAGACTTTAGGATATATTAATTATTAGATAAACCAATATAACCCTAATTAAATTACAATCTAACCTCAATGCCTCTAGTGTCCATAAACGCTACCTATATTCGGGGCGGGCGAGAGGTCGCCCGGAAAACTCACACTGTTCTAATAGAGTTGTTCGATCTCGTACAGGCACCTCACTAGAGAGATCCTCCAATCTCGCTCTCTTATTACAGAAGCGTATCGCCAGCACTAAGAAAAACGTTTTTTCCCTGTCTTAAATCTTCCTAAAAGGTCTTTTTTTTCGGTTTGTAAAGCTTCTTTTTTTTGCTATTTCTTGGCCGATAAGGGAGGGTAGAAACACTTGACCATTGACGGGAGAAAGAACTACACTTGTTAGACGTATGACGCGTTACTTATTGCTCAATGGCCCACGTGACGCCTAGGTCGTTGTAATTTTATAGTGGTCACTCACGTTTAAACATACCTGACTGCACTGAGAGACATAGTGTAGTTTATTTTTGAATCTACTACTAATAGAAACTTTCCGATAGGCACTCTGGATTATACAGAGCTTGCATATTAGTAGTACTACCGGGGGCATCGAGTTTCCGAAGACGATGAACTGAAGTAAATTAAAAAAATAAATCGCCCGTGGGTTGTGTTCCAACTCAATTAAATAGTGTAGGACGCAACTTGATTATCGAGAGCTCATCCAATACGGGACTCTTCTACTATTCCGCCTAAGCGATTGCGATTTTGCTTGTTATCAATTCAGTTTGTATCACCCGAATAAACAACATGACATCTTCAAAGACTATCCCGGCACCTAACCAGGTACTACATTAGCTGCATATAGCCTGCTTAGACTATAGTCTAGGCAACAGGGCAAAATCTCTTAAATAACTTATCCCATCCTCTCTATACCTACCTTCCCCTATATATAAAATTACTAGCGGACGCCTCAAGTGGGCTTTCGTGCCCTGTCTCAGATATAATATAATTTCTATCAGCTTTTCACCGTATACTTTGACTACTCATTGGGATAATTTAAATTATTCTTTATCTCTAAAAAACAATAGGGCATCCTTTTACCATCCACTTCTAATTGTTTTTGTTTTATTGTTTCTACATAATTAATTTTCCTCTCATTCAATTTTTAAAAGATACTTCTTAACAAACCCAGTTATCAATCTCATTTTTTTTTTTCCAAGTTCCTGCTCCGTTCATAAACATCACACAAACTATACGTCGCAATTTTTTTAATACTGTGTTAATACTAATTTTAATAGCCAAGATCTTAACAGCTGTCTTTCTACTAGTGTGGTAACTTCTGTCGAAAAAGAAACGCGTTCTAATACTTACAAGTAGGACGTGCTACTTTTAAGTATAGAACGACACACTACCCTCAAATTATCCTCTTTTTTCAGTCACTCTGTAGTAAGTCCCTTCTTTAGTTACCCTTGTTGCTACACATTAAGAAACTACTCTTATGTGTCTAATTTTTAAAGGATTTATCGTAATTATATACTTCTAATACAACTATTTTCACCTATCTGTTTTCTAAATTCCGCAATCGTCATGTGGACAATCTATTTAAAAAACTACTCCATACATCTACAATTATTAGTAAAATAGAAAGGGAGAATCACGCTTGATTAAATATCCTTTATCATAACACTAACGAGATAACTTCTCAGTCTACGCTAATCTTGGGTCTTTCTTCGTGTGAAGAACTCAACTATTTAAATCAACCTATTCTCTCTCTTTTCTCTACAAAATTCTACTACTAGTCCTAACATACAACTATAGATGCTTAATATCTACTTTTACTATGTGAAACAGCTTACTGAAATTAGCTCAGTAGTAAAACTCTTTATATCATCCCTATACGTTTAGTGAGGTCGACTGTATGTAGGAGCAACGTTCAACTCAATAATCTGTAAAGATCTCTTATTTTTTTCTAATATGTGTTTGGTTATACTCATTTAAATCTCACCCAATTACATCAAAATAACACCTACTACCATACCTTCTTTCGTATCATCACTCACATCATCCACACAACGCACACACATCTACACATCAACACACCACTTCAACACATACACACATCCTCACACACTACACACTCTATCATACACACACAGCTACACACAATATATAAATCTTTTTCAGTTACAACACACACATCCACAACATACATCCATCACATCATCAACACACACACCACCACCACATCATATAACACTCACCTACATCACACAGACACACACACTCCTTAAAGATTCTTTTCCAGTCTATAAAAAAATATTCTTTTCAGGGTTTTGCAAAAACTCACACACACACACACATACAACGCGCTTTACTTTTTCACAAACTTTCTAAGATAAACGCAATTAAAACTGCGATTGTCTCTTTTGCCACAGTAGCTGTGTAATACCTCCTATCCCGCCTGCCCCTTTTTATAGAGACTACAAACATTCGAAAATAGACTGTCTGCACTCGCCATATTATATTTCCGCGGCTACAAACACGGTGTCACTTCCTGCAAACACTAAACGGAATATCGCCAGTCAAATTTGTGGCATAAGGAGAGCGTCAGTACTCGAGACCACCTTTGTTAGCTAAAGCTCTACAACAAAATCATCCTTTAGCCAGTATTCTAATTTTCTGAGACAGTCCTGTATCTGTGATCCTCTCCAGAATGGAAGGAGTCATCACATACAGAGCATCAACTAGTTCCTGAACAGTGTCCTTCACATGCTGATATCCAAGAGAGGGAGTTCCACAGTCACAAGATGGAGGAATAGAAAGCAGTATTCAATGTTTACTTCAGATTAGCTCCACGTCAGAAATGATCATGCTTGTCATATGTCTCTCTCCATAGAGGCTGAATCATCATGTTAATCACATAGCTATCATATGCCTCAAACAGTCCTGATGCTCTTCTAGGTAATCACACATCCTGTCATGTTCACAGCTACAGTTGGGATACCTTTCGTTAGCATGTTGGAAGAGGACATTCAGTATTTTCCAAACACTAAGTAACACCAGACACCTGCAGTCTAGCTTAATGGTCGATCAAACGTCATCTAAATATCACAAATAAAACCTTTCCCTCAGGGGCTTTACTGTACAGCACACATATTGTTGGTCTTAAGCAGGATTAGGGCAACAGGCGCAGCCAGGTGTTTTAAGTAAACATCACATGCCTTCAGTCCGGCTTACCTTCCTTTACTGACAGGAATGTGCTGTTGTGGAACCGGTTTTAAAGAACAGGTTGACATTCATCTGATGTCAACCTGCTGTCAGAATAACTGCATGTGTTTATAATGGGAACATGCTGTTCTTCTATAACCTCTCTGCTTTTACACCGCTGTCTTTAAAGCTGGTTCTTGTCACAGTAACTGTCTTTCTTTAAAGTGCTGTATGCTCTTTGTCAGTGTGTGTTATATTCCTTGTTTTGATTGCCTGATAACTGAAATGTAACTTCCTTTGTGTTCAGTCTGTGTGTAAAGTATGCAATATAAGAAAACCACAGTATATACGTTCATACTTTTGTGTGACTTTGACCTCGTTTCTCACTCTCCGCCTCCCTTTAAACTTGCCTCCAGGTGAATGAGAGCGATGAGGAGCAGCAGGAGGCCGGAGGTGTCTGCTCAGCAGCTGACTGATCACACTATTGGCACAGGTGTGTATGTAAACAAGTCGTGTGACATGTCTCAGGAATGAGTTACAATAAAAGGGATTGTTAAAACAATTTACCAAAACTAATTCAGCTGAGAGGGAATTTCTTTTATGGCATCGGGTTTTTCTACCACTTAATAAATCATGCGTTCTCTTCCTCACCTTCAGAGCTGACAACTGCATGGAAGACTTTATCTCAGTCCAAAGCTGCTGTAAGTATACAGTCAGTGGAATATCAAATGATGAGGAGGATGACTCCCTTTCACCGCCATATAAGGCTCACATGTGTGTTCTCCCTCTTTAGTTGCGGCATATAGAGAACCGCCTGGAAGCCGCTCCAGGTTCAGGTGTTCTCCTGGAATCTGTCATGGACCCCAAGAAGAAATCCTCCAGGACGGTGCGCTGCAGAGGTGAGTCATTTCCAAACGTCTTTATGATCAAATTCTACATTTCCTCCGGCGCTCCTTCCTGCTCCGTCACAGCACCTCTGTTGTGCAATATCCTTATTTATACACTTTGCTGGCTGTTATCTCGTAGTTAGACAATTCAACTACTGTAATAAATTCTAACTAAATGACTGTGCACTATATACTTTTACTAGTGTTAGCTGGCTGCTATCACACTACTTAATACATGCTACACCTATTTAAAGAAATAAAGAAATACTGTTACGGCTGCTTGTAGTCCACCTGGATGTGTATTTATGTACATTTTAAATTCTATCTATATATTAATCCTAAACTGGGAAATTATTTTGTTTCAGCACCAGTGTGCTCAACATTAAAATACTAATACTTAAAAAGTGGAAAAGTGTGAACAATAAACATTTAAATGTAAAATCGTATATATCAAATGTAAACAATATACAGTGTATAGCAGCAGGAATATATGTTTAAAGAGCTTACGAAATGCTTTTAGCACCTGTTAGTGGGCTTAGTATATGATAGAGGTTGCATTTGTATTGTGAAATGTGCCATATGTTTTTATTATTATTGATGTATTTTTTAATAAATCACCATTTATAAATACAGCGGGCATATTGTCATTAATGACAAATGATTTCCCATTAATAATAGTATATATTATCCTAATAAGAACAGTGTTGTCCTTCATTTCGTAAGCTCTTTAATGTATAATATGTTAATTAATTAATATAATGCTATTTTTGGCTCGTCACTCTTCCTGTAACACTCTCAATGTCCCCTCTGTGGGACGAATTAAGACATCCTGATTCTGAATAATACCTTTTTTAAACATTGCTGTCTCTCTCCCAGATGGACAACATGCTGACGTCACCGCGGGGTCTTCTAAGCGTCGGGGGCGGAGTCAGCAGAGTCCGGAGAAGAGCAGCTCTCGCAGCCCGCTGAGGAACGCCACGCAGGACAGCAACGTGCGGAGGAACAACAGCGTGGAGTTCAGGGAGCCGCTGGCCTCCTACAGGTACACACTCCGCTTCAAATGCACCAGTGTTTCCCATACATTGATTTATTTGTGGCGGGCTGCCACAATTAAATATCGTCCGCCACAAATGGATCTCATAAAAAAATAATAATAATTATTATTATTTTTTTTTTATTTTTTTTTTTTTGGTGGTTTAATGGATAGTGAGGTGGGCTGATGATCGGAAGGTTGCGAGTTCAAATCCTGCCTTGAACACCACTACTAGTGTGCCCTTGAGCAAGGCACTTAGCCCTCGGTTACTCCAGGGAGAATGTCCCTGTAATTGTTCATTGTAAATCGCTTTGGAACAAGGCGTCTGCTAACTGCCTAAATTGTAAATTATATTTTTGGGAGAATAACCCCCACAGATCCTCAACTCCGGTGTGTTTCACTCATTAACAACGAAACACAGAGCAACAACAACGTTGGGGGGGGGGTGCGGTGCCCCCACAAATAGAATCAAATTGTGTGGGAAACACTGCAGTCTGCAAACAGCCTGAGGTCGCATTCCCACCTACTAGTCCACTTCCCTGCTGCGCACCAGACGACTGTTTGTTGCATTGTTTCATTTTTCAGAAGGTTGGGTTTGCGTTCACACGGGCAAACAGACTATAAACTTTAAACACAATCATGTGCATGGAACTGCTGTTCAACCATTGTCATTTTCATGCGGCTGTTAATCTGGAGATCAACAGACTCTAATGGACGGGGTATATGATTATATAATCAGACGACGTGCGTTTAAAAACATTATAACATATATAATGACCCGGTGTCCGCGGGGTCTTAAAAAGTATTAAAAGTTGATAAATCAATTTAGCGAAAGTTAAGGCTATTAAAAAGTATTAAAAGGCACCCGGGGGGAGGGTGGCGCTTAAGTCCCGACTGACACACACCGCTGCAGACTCTCTGGAAGGAAGAGACACACGTTAACTACTACAAAAAACTATATCCGGTCTCAGAGATCTGCTATTTTAAAGTGAAGTCAACACATATCCCTAAATATAGTCTATATTAAGAACGAGAAAAGGCTTAACATATATATCGTTTTTTGTAAACATATGAAAAATGTTCGAGGGTGAGCGTCCTCCTACGTGCCCCTGGGTATTCGTGAGGGAGCTCCGATGTGGCATTACCCCGCTGAAGCAAAGTTTCATATATTTTCATAGTTCAAAGAGAGCTCTTCCACTCAGTCCTGAAATGCTCTTTAAGATTTCCCTTCAGACACCGTGTGTTCCTGACATCTCCTTATGTCTGCAGCTGAAAGGCTCACAGACACTTCAGTAGCTCCGAGTGGTTAGCAACGATACAGCACAACCCTTTTTCTGCTTCAGTTTGCTCTCTCAGAGTAACAGATTTACTGGATCTCAATGTGAATATATTCTCAAGAGTTGATAAAGGCTTAGAGCGGAGCTGAATATTAGACTAACATCCACCAGATGTCCAGAAACACGGCTCGACACACACACACGATATGCTGCTTGGTTTTTACTGAATGTGTTTATAGAAGCAACATGTTGGAAATGGAAAGGTGATCATTTTAAGAAAAATGTTGTTTCTTCTGCCCCAAAAATTGTAGAAAATGTATATTAGTTATTCACGTCTTGGTTATTAACCCTCATTATTTTAATATCGTTATAATCAGAACATGCACTACTCAGTGGATGATATGTTTTTAGTTTGACTTATAGTGCCATCACTAATCTTTTCTGCTTCATGCCCGTTAGCGAGGGAAGTGTGACAGAATTAAAATCCACATTTTATTATAATCATTCTGGTTCTACGTTTCTAAAAGGTTTCATAGTTGAATGAAAGCCACATAATGAGTGAATGTGTCCCTCCTTCCTCACAGTCTCTGACCCCCCATACATGAGCTCTTCTGTTCACTCACAGTGAACTAAGTCTTGATCCCCTTCCTGATCCCCTGTGTAATCTGGTTTGTTTCCAGAGAGGCCACCCCTCCACCAAACCCCCCCTCTCAGCTGGAGGCCTTCAGCCTTCAGTCCTCCTCCTCCAATCCCCCCTCAGACCCCCTGCTGAGCCAGATGGTTTACCACAGAGACACCAGGGACTCTCAGACGGACCGGGACCAGGACAGCACTCGCTCCTCGGCTCTGGAGGGCACGGAGGTCCGATTCCTCAACGACCGCTCAGCCCTCGACTCCATGAGGAACGCCAGGGTCTCTGCGTGGGAGCAGGACAACACCCCTAAAGTAAAATAAATATATGCCGTCAATAACTGCAATATGTGCAATATATATATATATATATCTCAATAACTGTGTTATATATATACCTGGCTGCTAAATCCTCAGAACTGTTACAGAATGTGTATTTTGTAAATTGTATTTATAATTTGTTGTATCTTTTTGTTTTTGTTTTACGTATTCTTTATTAGTTATTTTCTCACATTCCCCTTTACATCCAATAGTACTTCAATTTAGATGAAAAGTTTCTTTAACAAGGGGTCACAACATGTAGAAGGTCTCAAATCCCCCAAAAGATCCACATGAGAATATGAAAAACAAAACGTATAGAAATCAAATCAATAATAACACTGAGAAGTGTGTGTGTGTGTGTGTGTGTGTGTGTGTGTGTGTGTGTGTGTGTGTGTGTGTGTGTGTGTGTGTGTGTGTGTGTGTGTGTGTGTGTGTGTGTGTGTGTACACATTGAGCTGTCTTTAGCTCTGTTCTTGCTGTAGCAATGTAAATGTCCCCTCTGTGGGACTAATAAAGTGATTCTGATTCCTCTACGAACAGCCTGCCCTGGACTCCATGAGGACGGCGGGGGTCAGAGTGTCTGCATGGGAGCAGGACAACACTCCCAAAGCACAACCAGGCATGGAGGGACAGGAGTCGAGCCCGAGTTTAGCTCCAGGATCCGCACAAAGAGAGGAGAACACCCCCTCGTCGAGCCCCGGATCAGCCTCTCAGCGGCTGGAGAACCTCCGGCGGCACCAGCCTGACGACAAGCTGGAGAAACTCAAAGAGCGCATCCGGAGGCAGAGGCAACATCTGGAGGAGGCGGCAGAGAGAGAGAAGCTGCTGTTCAACCTGGAGCAGCCGGACGTAGAAGCTGTGGGGAGCAACAACGCCGGCACCAGCAACATGCACAAAATAATACGGAAAGTAGCAGCTGCTCCACCGGCTCCGATATACAAAGGTACCTGCAGCTATTTCACATCCTTTGTTTGACCTTTTGCTGCATCTAACAGTTTGGGGAATACAGCTTACATCTTTAAAGGCCCCCTGTTATACTGTTTCTCATCAATACCTCACAGGTCTCAGATATATCCAGAGCCTGTCTCTGATTGGCTGAAACACCAAACAGATCATTGCAGCATTACCCATAATCCCCTC